TCCAAACGAGGCGAAACTTTTTTGAATTTTTTTCTTCCTAGAAGACAACTTGGGAGTGAATGAAGTGCACGAGGGAAGGCCCGTGGGGCCTACCACCCAACTGGGCACGCCAGAGGCCCCTATCACGCCCTGATAGGTGTTGGGGGCTATGGAGGTCCTTTACACCGCCTCCCAGCTCTACAAATACCCAAATATTCCAGAAACCCTAGGGGAGTCGACAACACACAATTCTAGCCGCCGCATGTTCCAGAACCACGAGATCCAATCTTGAGCCCTATTTCGACACCTTGCCAGAAAGGGGAACACGATCATGGAGGGGTTCATCATCCTCATTGGTGGTCCTCCGAGGACGCATGAGTAGTTTACCATAGACCTACGGGTCGGTAGGTAGTAGCTAGATGGCTTCTTCTCTCTTTTTGCTTCTCACTACAATGTTCTCCTCGATGTTCTTGGAGATCTATTTGATGTAATGACTTTTTGCGGTGTGTTTGTTGGGATTCAATGAATTGTGAGTTTATGATCAGTTCTATCTATGAATATTATTTAAGTCTTCCTTTATCTATTATATGCATGATTATTATAGCCTCGTATATTATTTAAGTCTTCCTTTATCTATTATATGCATGATTATTATAGCCTCGTATTTCTTCTCCAGAACTTGGATTTGGTTTGGCCAACTAGATTGATTTTTCTTGCAATGGGAAGAGGTGCTTTGTGATGGGTTCGATCTTGCGGTGTCCTCACCCAATGACAGAAGGGCTTGTGAGGCACGCATGTATCGTTGCTAATTAAGGATAAAAATATGGGGTCTGTTCCTACATGAATAGATCTTGTCTACATCATGTCATCGTTCTTATTGGGTTACTCTGTTTCTCCATGAACTTAATACACTAGATGCATGCTGGATAGCGATTGATGTGTGGAGTAATAGTAGTAGATGCTGGCAGGAGTCAGTCTACAATTCTTGGACGTGATGCCTATATACATGATCATTGCCTTGGATATCGTCATAATTATTTGCTCTTCTATCAATTTCTCAATATTAATTTGTTTACCCACAGTATGCTATTTTCTTGAGAGAAGTCGTTAGTGAAATCTACGACCCCTGGGTCTATCTTTTATCATATTGTTTTCAGATCTATTATTCCAAAAACCCAAAAATACCTTACTACACTTTTTATTTCTTTATTTTATTTTGGTTTTCGCTAGATCTATTTATGCAATCTCATACAATTTAACCTATCTCAATACCAAGGAGGGATTGATAACCCCTCTTACGCATTGGATTGCAAGTATTTGTTATTTGTGTGAGGGTACTATTTACATAGTGTTACTTGTTTCTCCTACTTGATTGATAACCTTGGTTTCATAACTGAGGATATACTTACCGTTGCTCTGTTGCATCATCCTCTCCTTTGCGGGGAAATACCAACGCAGATACGAGCAATCAGTCCCCCCTCATGAACGACGCAGACATCGAAGTAACCCCTCTGCCGTTCTGCTGGTGCGTGACTATTCCTGGACACCGGGAGCGTGATAAACTCATGGATTTTTTTCATGATGCAGACACATGTGATATGAGATGTGTGGTAATTTTTCAAATAATTTTAAGAGGGGGAAGTATGCGCAAAAATCTCCAGCTCGGGATTGTTCTTCGCATGTCTACGGGTGTGGTCTGGGCCATCGGCGGCTAGCTATGCCTCAAAATCTTTCCCCGAGTCCTCACACAAGTCTGGAAATGTGGTCGGAGGTGCAAACACCCGACACGCGGCTCCATAGTGAGATCCCCCTCACGAACGGCGCCGTCGCCGACACTTTTAGGGGGAGGTGGGGAATGACCACATCAGGTCGCCGCGGAGGTGATCTTGTGGTAGTTTGGGCTTAGACCTTGTTCTAAAGTGTTACCATGGGCCCGCCTAGCACAACCAGGTGAAAAAGTCCATTGGCCAAAGCCCGTCTGGCCAAAGTCAAAGGCGTAGATCTCCTGGTCAACTCGTCCAAGGTTAGGACAACCGGGGGCCTTAGGGGGGTATCAATGCCACCGGAGCATCGCCCTGGGTCGTCATACACATCTTAAGTTGTGCTGGCATGTCTAAAGAGGCAATACTGTGGCTTTGGGTTGTGGTCCCCCCTAACGGACGGCGAAGACACCGGACTAATTAACCCCTCTACGGTTCTGCTGGTGCGTGAATATTCCTTGACACACGGTGCGTGATAAACTCATGAATTTTTTTCACAATGCAGACACATGCGATATAAGATGTGTGGTAATTTTTCAAATAATTTTAAAGATGGGGAGGTATGTGCAAAAAATTTCCTGCTACAGATAGTTCTTCGCATGTCTGCGGGTGTAGTCCGGGGCCATCGGGGCCTAGCTATGCCACCAAATCTTTCCTCAGGCCCTCACACAAGTTTGGAAGTGTAGTGGGAGGTGCAGACACCTGGCACGCGGGTTCGGAGTGAGATCCCCTTCACAAACGGCGCCGTCCTCGGCACTTTTACGGCGGGGTGGGGGGGGGGTGGGGGTGGCGTTCGCGCCGGGACGCCGCAGAGGTGATCTTATGGCAGGCTGGGCCCAGACCTTGTTCTGAAGTGTTACCATGGGCCTGCCTATCAAAACTAGGTGAAAAAGTCCATTGGTCAACGCCCGTCCGGTGAAAGTCAAGGGCATAGATCTCCTGCTCAACAGGTCCAGAGTTAGGCCGACCGGGGGCATTAGGTGGGTAGCAATGCCACCGGAGCAACGCCCCGGGTCGTCATATGTGTCTTAAGTTGTGTTGGCATGTCTGAAGAGGAAATACACTACTCCGGGTTGTGGTCCCCCCTCACGGACGATGAAGACACCGAAGTAACCCCTCTGTCTTCTGGTGAGTGAATATTCCTGGACACCCGCAGCGTGATAAACTCATGAAATTTTTTCACGATAAACACATGAGATATAAGATGTGCGGTAATTTTTCAAATAATTTTAAGGAGGGGGAAGTATGCGCAAAAATCACCCGCTACGGATTGTTCTTCGCATGTCTGAGGGTGTGGTCCGGGGCCATCCGGGGCTAACTATGCCACCAAATCTTTCCCCGGGTCCTCACACAAGTCTGGAAATGTGGTGGG